CAGTTAGAAGGGGCACCTGGGTGGCTCAGTCAGTTAAGCGTCCGACTTCGGCTCAGGTCATGATCTTGAGGTTCATGGGTTCGAGCCCCACGTCGGGCTCTGTGCTGACGGCTCAGACTGAAGCCTGCTTTGGATTCTGTGTCTCCCCCTCTCCCTGCCCCTCCCATGCTCATGCTCTGTCTCTCTTTGTCCCTCAATAGTAAATAAACGTTACACTCAAGGCAGCTAACTCAAGGCAGGCGAGGAAGGACAAAGAACAAAGTGTTAAAGAGAAAACAAGCAGGGTAATGAGACAACCACACACACAGTAACTTTAAATGCAGACAGACTGAACGGTCCATTGTGAAGTTAGTAATTTCGGGCCTCAACTACTGCTGGGAGCAAGACACACTGTAAATAACGAGACAGGGAGGATGACAGTAGAGGGGCGGAAAAGAATAAAACAGTAAGCATACAGAAGCTGGGGTGGCTCGTAACACAGAAGACCTCAAAGCAAGAAGCATTACAGACAAAAAGAGAACTGATTTCACCCTGATAAGAGGGCAAATCACCAAGAACACACAACAAACATAAATGTGTAAGCACCTAATAAAGTTTATAAACACATGATGTGAAATTGAGAAATATACAGACATTCATAACTTTATGGAGACTGGAAGTTGTATTTCCAGTTAAAAATGGGGGGGGGGCGCCTGGGTGGCGCAGTCGGTTAAGTGTCCGACTTCAGCCAGGTCACGATCTCGCGGTCCGTGAGTTCGAGCCCCGCGTCGGGCTCTGGGCTGACGGCTCGGAGCCTGGAGCCTGTTTCCGATTCTGTGTCTCCCTCTCTTTCTGCTCCTCCCCCGTTCATGCTCTGTCTCTCTGTCCCAAAAATAAATAAAAAACGTTGAAAAAAAAATTTAAAAATGGGGGAAGAAACATTCATAGGTGATAAAAATCTGTAAAACGACTGTATAAACTTTACCAAGAAACCGACAGGACCTGTGTAGACAAACTATAAAATGTGGTCAGTATTAAAGGCTCATGCCAATGTCTTTGAAGACAATATACTTACATTTATAAACACAGCCACAGTCAAAATGCCAACGTGGATATTTTTAACTGACAGCAGGATATTTTTTTCTTTCTGAGTATTTGTAATGAGGGGGATAAAAGTCATGATGTCTATAATTTACATTCAAGTGGCACATTGCAAAAGAAAGGTAAAAATATATGGTAAAATGTCAACAATTTTTGAATGCAGGAAGTGGGTATAAATTGCAGACTTTGAATATAATTTCTACTTCTTTGTAAGTCTGCAAATTTTTTATTATTTTTTTTTAATTTTTTTTTTTCTTTCAACGTTTATTTACTTTTTTTGGGGCAGAGAGAGACAGAGCATGAACGGGGGAGGGGCAGAGAGAGAGGGAGACACAGAATCGGAAACAGGCTCCAGGCTCCAGGCTCTGAGCCATCAGCCCAGAGCCTGACGCGGGGCTCGAACTCCCGGACCGCGAGATCGTGACCTGGCTGAAGTCGGACGCTTAACCGACTGCGCCACCCAGGCGCCCCAAGTCTGCAAATTTTTTAATAAAAATGTTAAAAATGCATTTATTAACTAACAATTTCAACAAAGTTTTTGGAAGGTAAATGGAAGATGAAGATTATCTTACCGGGTATGTATGATAAATTTCAACATAGTTACAGTAATCAAAACAGTATGATCACAGTTGAGGATTAGATAATTAGCATTTAAATGATTTAAGGAATCCAAACAATTATTCAAGTTTATATGAGAACTTCAACCAGTGGAAGAATGAATTAATTCAACGGTATTGATTCAACCCACCAGGAATAAATAAAAGACATAACTTCAGAAGAACTAAGATCTAACTATGAAAGTCAAAATTATAAAAATACATGAATAGAATTTTAAGTACTATTTATATTACTGTGAGGACAGGGGAGGCCATTTTAAGCAAGACAGAAAACCAGATTTGATAAAAACAAACGAAAGATTTGGCCTCATGAAATTAAATTTCTTTATGGTCAGAAGAATTTCCGAATAGAATTTTTGAAAATGACCTAAAGAAAATGTTTGTGACATACAGAAACTTTTAGTATCCTTAATAATATATATAATGCAAACTGATTTATAAAAAAGTAAGCAATTCAACAAAAAATACAAAAGTTCTGAGCACACACATACATAGAAGTAGGAACAATAAATAGTCAACAAAAAATGAAATGATCTTTAATGCAGTGAGCTATCAGAAAATGGCATTATTTAATGAGCAATGGTTTTCACCCATATGTTAGGACGAGTGTGAGTTTCTATAATCCTTTTAGAAAATATATTATGTTCATAAATTTCTAGCACCATGCACTACACAACACATATTTTTAAAGGACCACTAGGTTGGGGCGCCTGGGTGGCTCAGTCGGTTAAGCGGCCAACTTTGGCTCAGGTCATGATCTCGCGGTCTGTGGGTTCGAGCCGCACGTTGGGCTCTGTGCTGACAGCTCAGAGCCTGGAGCCTGTTTTGGATTCTGTGTCTCCCTCTCTCTGACCCTCCCCCGTTCATGCTCTGTCTCTCTCTGTCTCAAAAATAAATAAATGTTAAAAAAAAATTTTTTTTAATAAATAAATAAAGGACCACTAGGTAACACTAAGTAAGCAAGTTTACTGCAGCTTTATTTGTATTGCAAAACTAGAAATGTCTAACCATCAATATAGGGAAAGGTTTAACAAGCCTTTATGTATACTCTATACTACAAGATGTTACATATATTTGTGTGTATATGTATATATACATATGTATATACATATATATACATATATACATATGTATACACACACACACACACACACACACACACGCGCGCGCAAGTGCCTGGGATGATATTATGCCAAATAGACTGTTGGCATGGAACGCAGAAGAACAGAATATTCTTCTTCTAGCAAACCATAAGAGACTCTTAACTATAGAGAACAAACTGAGGGTTGGTGGAAGAATGGGCTAAATGGGTGATGGGCAGGGTCCCCTGGGTGGCTCAGTTGGTTGGGCATCTGACTTCGGCTCAGGTCATGATCTCGCGGTTTCTGAGTTCGAGCTCCGCGTCGGGCTCTGTGCCGACAGCTCGGAGCCCGGAGCCTGCTTTGGATTCTGTGTTTCCCTCTCTCTGCTCCTCCCCCACTCATGCTCTCTCTCGATCACACTATGTTAACTAGAATTTAAATAAAAATTTGAAGAGAAATACAAAGAACATTCTTCTTATATATACTTCTGCCCTTGTTGAATTGTTAGACAAACATGCATTACCTTTCAAATTATTAACTGCCCCCAAATTATTTAATCTTCTACAACTAGACAGTATACACCACTAAGACACACACAATATGCACTAAGCGCAAAATATAATATTTGCAATTAGATTTTTTAATTTTCTATTTTATAATATTATTGTAACCATTTTGCTAAAAATATATACAAGAAACTTGGTATTAATTACACGGTTCTTACTTATAACCTAAAAAAAAAAGATGTACGCTAATGGGTTTGGGTAAGCTGAAGACTACCTTCCTGCAGGGTAGTATTTTCCCCATCTTATCACCGCTATAAGAAAGAACTGTGAACAAACACCTGTTCCTACAAGAGCTGCACACAAAGCCTGTTGCAGGTTCAGAGACACGATCATTGTAGATCACGGGCGTCCCTTGGGCTGCAGGCGGAAGACGTTTGTGCTGGGAAGAACCTTTGTGGCCCTTCATGACACACTGATCCCTTCCATGATGCCGGGAGGGCCCTGACAGTGTGTTCACACTGCCTGAGGGGAAAATAAGATGTCTCTGTTTTCTTGAAACAAGGTTCCCCAGATTGTGTAAGTTTCAGGCTCCACAAAATCCGGATCTGCCTGTCTGAAGGTGGACTGAACCACCCACAACTGTGGCTTACCCAAAGGAATTGACAGCATTATATCCTGTGTATATAATATTCTTGAAAAGGGCAACTTTTATCCGTAGTCATTAGTAGACTTCGTGTTTTGTGTTTGTGGTACCTGAATGGATGGCTTCTAAAACCCTTCAAACAGACTCCTCCAGAAAGAAATGTTCCAATCAGTCCTTAACGCATCACGGAGGAAGAACGAAAGCACCCGGACAAAGAGAATACAGACCCAAGTTCAGCAGGACTAGAAGAGATCGCTAAACGGACGTCCACAAATCTCAGATAAAGACGGCATCACTTAAGATGGCCTTGGTCACACACGGAAACGGCAAAGGGAAAGTCTTAGCGATAAAAGCTGGCGGTCACACCTCCCAAGTGACAAGCAGGAAGGTTAGCCAGCGGACCGAGGTCTAATGTACAGCCGGTGGCCAGCTTCACAGTGAACACACGTCAGGTATTTCTGAATCCACCGGGCAAGAGACACCTTCTCAGAAAAAATAATTTCGCTGGCTGCATTAGAGCATTTTAAGTAATCTAACCCCTCTTGTGACTCCATGTCCGAAATGCGCTTCCGGATTGCCACTCGGCTTCCCAAGTGATCTGACCACACCGAATGCCCATATTCTGATGCCGGTAACTAGAATACACGTTTGTAGATCAGTAAAACGGAATCCGGGTTTTACACGTCAATCACATTGGCTTGGCCAAGATGATCTGGTTTCTGAAAAATGAATCCATTTTCATCTGAGTTTGAATCTGTGAAGCCCAAGACTAAAAACCCTGGACTGAAATAAATTCAAGGAGAGGCCTCTTGGCAAGCACCTGTTCCTGGGTGAGCAGTTGAAATAGCAACTCATATTTTAATTATCCCCACCGTGGACTCAGCAATTGTGTCAGACAAGGAAATATGCAAAGTCAGCATAAAGTGCACGTGACCCAAAAAGAAAACACACAATTTCTTTTACATTTCTGCTTTCAAATACAAACGTATGCTAAACTGCATTTCTGTTTTTAAGGATACGCTCATTCAGGTAATACTTCCTAGGCTTCTAAACTTTGAAAAATTATTTTTACCTATGTGATTGATTATTAAGGTTTAGTGATCCGGTCTGGTACATCTCCTCCAGCTGCTTCCTGTTTCCAAAGTACAAAGCCAGGTCTGTGGCAATGATGGCTTTACGGATGATCTCAAGCACCTGTTCGTATTCACTGGAGCTGAGGGTGGAGAAGATATTGTGCCCTTCCAGCTATGGAAAAAACACAAAGAAACACCACCAATAGGAAGCACAAGCTCTCATCTCACGACACGTCCCCGTCCCGTCACGTGAAACAACACAGTTTGGCCAGTGGCATCTGGCACACAAATGACACGTTTGGGGGAAACAAAAGAACAGTTTGTAATGATGAAGGAAATCAACGTTGCGGTTTCTCTTTAGGCTACAAAGCCCAAGCTACCGCGTAAATGCATCCTTTAACGACTGTAACATCATTCACTACCACAAAATCCCAGGGATTCGCATACATACCTTGGTGTTGGATAGTTCTAGTAAGTAATTCAAGGACTAGAAAATGCATTTAAGTAAAGGACATTTCTTCTTAAACTAATGCAAGCCTTTGGTCATTTTTTATATTATACTGGAAATTAATGGGCTTAAAAAGTCACGTGTATCTTTGTCCACTTCAAGTCTAATGAACAGTAAACATTTTCCATATCCTAAAACAAAATGTCCCACAACCTCAAAATAGTTAAGTTAGGCATATTAAAGTTTCTCTCTACAGGCAACAGCACTTTCACGTAAAGCACATGTCACTGAGGTGCAGACACTGGGGCCCAACCTCTCTTCTGTTCTCATGGGAGGTGGGACGGGTAGACCGTCAGCCTAGACAAGACCAAAACGTGGGTCATTTGGACTGTATTTCGTCAGAAGCTATTCTTTTGCTTATGAAATCTCTTAAAAACTTTTTATAATAACTTCTTCCTCTGAGAATTATAAGCCTTTATTGGTAATTGAGATAAAAATGGGCCAATTTGTTCAAACAAGAAAGACTGAAATAATAAAGACGCATTCAACCGTGGGCTCATCAATTACTGTTCAATTATTCACGATTAGCCAACACAATCTTACTGTAATCGATGGTTAATTGCTTTCACTTGTTTTAAGCTGTCTTTATTGGCTGATACGTTAAAAACTTGAAATTATGGAAGTGTACTTTTTTACAAAGTCAGACATCTCACTAAAACATTGTCACCTTCCCACTATGCTGAAATAAGGCTGTACATGCACACTCGTTTTCTTGTTCTTTTTTTTTTTTTAAGTTTATTGACTTATTTTGATAGGGAGAGAGAAAGAGAGAGACAGAGAGCACGAGCAGGGGAGGGGCAGAGAGAGAAAGGGAGCGAGAGAATCCCAAGCAGGCTCCATGCTGTTGGCGCAGAGCCTGACATGGGGCTCCAACTCACGAACCACGAGATCGTGACCTGAACCGAAATCAGGAGTCAGATCAGCCGACTGAGCTGCCCAGGTGCCCCTGCACCACTTGTTTTCTATCACCAGAATCTTTCTTACCTACTCTTAAGCTTTTATAAATATTTACATTATCCTATGATAAATGCAGCAAATGGAGTTAGTTCTAGTTGGCTATTTTCTTCTTTGAAGACAGACAGTGGGGGAAGGGACAGAGGGAGAGAGACAGAGAGAGAGAGAGAGAGCGCGCATCTCAAGCAGGCTCTGTGCTGACTTGGGGGCTCGATCCCACGACCCTGGGATCATGACCTGAGCCGAAGTCAAGAGTTGGATGCTCTGCCGACTGAGGCACCCAGGCGCCCCAGACTTGGGTATCTTCCAGACAATAACGATAGGAAGGCCTGACGTCTGCGGAACGTTTTAAATTGAGAAGGCGTTTTCATACGTGTGATTTCACTCTCAAGTCATAAAACTGCGCGACTCTTTGACGTCTGGCTGAGCTGAAGTATCTGCTGAAACAGCACAAGCCTCTTCTGTGACCGCAGAGCAACGGCAGAGTTTCACATCAATCGGCTGTGTCGGCGATTTGAGCCGCACGATCTCACCGGCGGCCACCTTGGTGGACACTCAACGGAGCCAAAGGGTGCACGTGACGGCAGACAGGTCCTCGGCACAAGGAAGAGCCACCAGCCCCGTCGGCCACCACGGGGAGGGGACTGGGGCTCTGGGAAGGCGGACGAATTCCGTGAGCTGTTAAGCCCCGTCCCACGTCCACTCGCCGAAATCTCAGGGCAGGAGGCTAAAGAACCCCGCTCTGCCTGCTGCTAGGAAGCCTGCTTTGCTCTCATCTGCCCCTAATTCCAGCGAGGCGGCTGGGCCGTTTCAATACTTTGTCACCCGTGCTCCCCAGCCATTACCACGTATCAGACTGGTGTGGGTCCTTGGAACACGTGCACCGCTGTCTGAGGGGGAATCTCACGTGACACGCATGTAATGCTTCATTCTATCAGCAACGGACCATTACGTGATGACGTCTAAACATATTCTACCACACAGTTGACAAAACGGTGTGGGGTTCCAGAAATCCTCTTAGCCTGGGTTCCAGAAATCCTCTCAGGGACCACAAAGTTGTGAACTCACTGCAAATATATATACATATATGATATATATATATATATATATATATCATATATGATATATATATATATATCACATCCAGCATATGATATATTGTATATTATATATGATATTATATATATCATATCATATGCTGAACATGTCCTTCGTAAGCACAGTATTTCATCGGATTCTCAAAAGTGTAAGTATCCATGATCTGTGGCAGAGGGAGACCCATTTTAAAGGATCTGTATATTTGTTGGCGACTTCAGTTTATTATGTCTTTGACTACTTTTTGATATTAAAGGGAATTCGGTGGAAAAGCTCAGGAGAGGATCTTCACAATGAAAAGTAGTAACGAGGATCTTTTAGTTCCTCCTTCAATATTTTGCAAGAGCAAAGGCAATAAATGAACACCAAACAGTAAGTGGCCCCTTCCCTTCAAGAGGATCCAGTCTATACTCTTCAGCACGTTTTCTTCCAAAGCACAGAAAATAAGGACACACAGTAACCACACGCAGCAGATAAACAGCTTGAACTCTTTTAAGAGCTCTAATTTCCCATCAGTGAGCTCGATGAAACCCCATTAATGCTTTTACGTATCAACTGGTAAGTTTCCCATAATCTCCCAGGTTACAGTGTCAGAGGTTTATTTTATGCGAATTCAAGCCAGTTCGTCCCATTTTGCATCAACCAGGCATAAGACCACCAGCATTTTACACGCAGAAATGACTCGGGTGCGACACCTGGGCGCTGTTGCCTACCGGCCGTGTCGTTCCCACCACGAAATGAACGTACGTGGGCGCTCATCTGGCACGTACTCAGCCCGCAGTGTCTCCCCGGGTGTGAGGGTACTTGCAGCATACTTAGTACCTACTCTAGCCGTGGCCCTAAACGAGGGAAGTGCACCCGTGGAGGAGTTCACAGTACACTGTGGAGCAGGAGAGAGGCAGAGAAGCACGACGGGAGACAGGTGCAGTCAAGGGCTCCGGGGAGAGCGTGGGCGGGGACACGGATTCTGAGGGACCAGGGGTCGCACGTGTGCAGGGAGCAGCGTGCGACCACACGTGTTCGGTGGGAAGCACACAATTTCTGTGCTGCTCAAGCGCATCGTGTCCACAGAGAAACGGTGACAGGGGCCAAGAGTTCCAACAGAGGCCTCATGTCAGAACTGAAATAATCATGGGAAGGTAGTTAGTAGGGTCACGACAGGAGGAGGCCTGTTTGAGGATAATCACTGGCTAAAACACGGGTAGCAGGTAGGGTAGGACGGGAGCAGGTGGGCACACTCACCCGTCTGTCCTCAGCAGGCTTTTACAGATTATTATTAATCATAAATCGTTCTCCCCAAAGCCCTGTGCTGCTTAGCTCTATCAAAGAGATTCGTCAGGGAAGGCCTGGGAGCTCAGCTTTCAATACCCCATGCCCACCAAGCGAGCTCACCCCCCAGCCACGCGGCCCGGGTGCGTGCGAGTCTCACCACAGGAAGCCACAGGCTGAATCATTCGGGGGACGTGAGATGAACAAAGCCCGTGGCGTTGAGCATTCGCGACCGCCACAGCTTGATGCGCATTCTGGTATCTGATCACCTACTGTATCAAACCACGTGCTAGGACTGTAATTAAGAACTCAGGGTTTGGGGTCAAACAATTCTAGTTTTTAATCCTGGTCCGTGACTCACTAGCTGTATGATAACGGACAAGTTACTTAACCTCCTCGATGTAGATTACTCTCATCTGTAAAATGGAAATAAATGGTAATAAAAATCAATGTGCTAATATGTGCACAATTCTGAAGTTTCTGATTTGTTTATGTATACCAAGTATTAAGTAATAACTATCAGAGTATTTATACTGAATGCCTGATGAGTGACTGAATGATTACTCTGATGATGGTGGTGACGAAAAGGACCAAATCTCCAGGATGACTTCTGCAGTCAGCGCAGAGGGGGGAGAAAGGACACTCGGCAAATACACCCCTACGCCCACAGCTCAGTTTGGTAGCCAAAGATCACTTCTATCCATTCAGAAGGCATCCGCAGAAAAGGACAGATTTAAGCTGGCCTCTGTACCATTATATACCAAATTATTTATCTTCTGTCGGGCCATGTTGACAGGGGAAGGATAGTTCCAGATCCACAGTCATTGGGTATCTGTGGAGATCAGGACAGGGGCAGGCAAAACCTTCCATAATCTTTTCTACAGATACACAGAGGTATCACGGACATCCATGCAATCTAACAATGCATTACTGTCTCATAGGTTAGTGACTGGAACCTGGAATTTTTACTGTTCCTCTTGGATATCACCTTAAATCGGTCAAGTCTGGAGCGGTCTTGACAAAACAGAAAACTGGCCGGCCCTGGTGACGGGACGTTGGGGGCGAGGGGAACAGTGACTCCAAGGTCATCCCCCTGTGGCGGCTGGGTGGTGGAGGCCGCCCCCATTTTGGTCACATCGGACGCTGAGTTGAGGTGTCTGGAGAGAGAAGTCTCCCTGCGCCCTGGTCTGAGACGCTGGTGTGACAGCCACAGCCTATCGGTGACCACGAGGACCCCAGAGAGAAGGCGGGGGGCGCAGGGAGAATGGCAGTGTGAGGGCAGAGCTCTGGATGCAGACCTCCCTCAGTCCACACCGAGAGCTCCGGGGGGGGGAGGGGAGGGGACAACTTGTCTTCGTTCTTACTACAACCCCTGGGCCTAAAATGGGTGTTGGCGGCTGGGAGGAGCTCAATGAATATGTTTGCTAGCAAAATGGAATTCAAGGGGGCAGTTAGATGGGTCTGAGGAGAACTACTCAGAGAAGTATCCTAAGCATAAAATGTCAAATCAGCAGAGAGTACGGTAATTTCCAGAAAAGGAAGGAAGCCTTTCCTGAACAGAGATAGGCCCATCTGTTTATGACCCTGATACGCCTTTCCCTGTCACAACCCCCACGGGAGGTTTTAGGTCACGTCAGGGTATGGATTCGGTGATGCTGTCTGAGTCTAGGTCAAGTAGCAAGAACACCTTAAAGGCGGCAAGTTGAGAAGAATGCACACAAAAGAACAACTAAAAGGACTTCCGTGCACTTAAACCTGGACCTGCCCAACCCTCCAGGTGTACGTCCAGTATGTCGGGGTTTGAGAACATGACGATCCGTGTGAAGAAATACAACACGCGAAACACACTTTGCCTTAGAGGAGCACCTACTTCAAACTCGACCGTGGCCGCAAAACAGATACGTATTCAAAACCTTCACCGAGGGTTCATGGTCAGAGCGCCCCACAATTACCTACTGAGGATATACACACGAGGTTCTGCGGGGACGTACAGCTGCAGCTGTTGAAGGAGGCCCAACCGAAACCCCGCGTTTACTCGGAACCACTAGAACCTCCCGGAGGGGACCGCGGAGGCCGCGGGCGGGCAGGCGGCGTGAGGTCTCACCTGCAGGATGGACACCGTCTGGGAGAAGTGGTGCTGTTCCATGGTGGACGTAGAGTAGAGGGCGGCCAGGGGGTGATCAAATTTCTGCAGGTAGCTGTTACTGAAGCCCCTGTGGTCCAGGTCGTGACACAGACACGCAATTAGCAGCCCTTTGCGCTTAAAAAAAAAAAAAAAAAATCCAGTGCACAGATGTTCAGAACAAAGAAGCGGATAGGAGAAGATTTACAGCTTATCATTCCTATCGTGGGGACAGAGTCCTGCCATTGGAACAGCCAACATCCTTAGGAATCTCTGAAGTTCCACATGATCTGTCTTCTTTCTTAACCTCTTTCGTTGTTTTTCTGCTTTTTTTTTTTTAATTTTTTTTTTTCAACGTTTATTTCTTTTTGGGACAGAGAGAGACAGAGCATGAACGGGCGAGGGGCAGAGAGAGAGGGAGACACAGAATCGGAAACAGGCTCCAGGCTCCGAGCCGTCAGCCCAGAGCCCGACGCGGGGCTCGAACTCACGGACCGCGAGATTGTGACCTGGCTGAAGCCGGACGCTTAACCGACTGCGCCACCCAGGCGCCCCGTTTTTCTGCTTTTAAAATAGACAACTGAATCATTCTTGAGTGTTCCTGCCCAACTCCGGGGAAAAGTTCATGGTGGTTATCAAATTAAAGCAAACGTTCCCAAGAATTACAGGGCAAGGAACTCTGTAGGAGGGGACCGTTTCAGCATTTCATTCAAAACCCGTTCCGGGTTAAACTCCAACAATATTATTGTTCTTACAAACAAACAAGGAAGAAGAGAAGTAAATCCTACGGCAGGTGAAAAAATGGCCAGCTGTACGGTGAGAGAGAGAGACCACAGAGCGGGTGCAAGGGGGTGAAGGGTTAATACAGCAAGGCAGGCCACAGAAAGTCCACGCGAGCAGACCTTTGCGGGAGCGAGGGAGCAGCAGGGGGTCCTGGGAGGAGAGCGCAGGGGTGGGTGCAGGGGGCAGGTGGGTCTGTCCCGACAGTCAGAGGGTCAGGAGGGAAGCAGGGCTGCAGGGAGGGGACAGAGAATCCTGGCAGAGAAGGGAGGCGGACCATCTTCTGCGGGAACCGGGGAAGGAAGACAGGGTTTCTGGCAGAGCAGTGGGCGTCGTGCGGCCAAGGGGAGACAGCGACCGAAAGGGGCGAAACGCTGGGCGCTGACCCTCCGTTGGCACGGTGCAGGGCGCTGGTGACCTGGGCTGGAGCGTGTTCGGGGAGGTGGGCCGGAGGATCGGGGAGAGCACTGGAGCCAGCCGCTGCGGCAGCTGTTCTGCGGGTTTGGGGAAACGGGGAGCTAAGAACTCAGGGGGGAGCCGAGAGGAACGGCAGGCGGAGGGTGCGTTACGACGGAGGTGACAACACGGTGCTCCCACACGTGGACCAGACAGTCCAGCAGAGACCGCACGGATGGAGGAGAGGGAGGGAAGAACCACCAGGGCAGGGACGAGGTCAAGCGGCAAGGCCAGCTCTGGACAGGAGCCTGGCGGGTGTTCCGGTGAGTGGGTGGTCACAGCCCACACAAGGCAGATGCTGGCAGGGAGGAGGGGGTCTGCAGAAACCCCACGAGGTTAGCTGTCTGTGTCCGCCCTGCCCCTTTCGTAGCCTCCCTGGGCACAACGGTTTCTCCTACAACCTAACGAGCGGGGGGGGGGGGCCTCCCAGACGCCCCTCCACTGCCACAGGCTCGCTGGCCATAGGATAACTGAATTACTTATGTTCTGAGCAGCACTTGGGTTTGGGGTCTTTCCCATATTTTGTGCTGCTGTGTTACCCAGGGTGAATCTGGTAAGAGATTCCAAGGTTTTAAAATCTTGCACGATACACAAATAGAGAAAAACTCCTATGTACCTCTTCTCAATTTTTTTTAATGTATTTTAGTTTTGTTGACGTAATATTCAATAGTTTTACTGAACGTATGCCAGAATTAAGCATGTGAAAATAATTCACGAGGCGAGGAGTTACTTTTGTTAATATGCTACTTTAACAAGATCAAATGATCATTTCTAACAGCTCTTTTAGAGATTAAATACCCTTTTTTAAAAAACATATTTAAAATGTTTACACATATTATTTTGGGATCATTTTCAGGCAAAAGGACCTGAGGTTTTGTGAAAACATAATGATGTAATTCTAAAAACAAACTAAGAGCTTAAACAAGAGTTCATTTGTGGCCACTACATTTTCTCACTTATCTTAAACTTTGCCATTTTTTTCAATGTACATTTCAACGCAACCTGAAAGATGGTTTCTACGGTTGTCAAAATCACAGACTATCCTCTGGCGAAGAAGACAATGAAACTGCTTTCTCTTTTTTTTTAATGTTTGTTTGTTTGTTTATTTAGAGAGACAGAGAACGCATGAGTGGGAAGAGGTGCAGAGAGAGAGGAGAGAGAATCCCAAGCAGGTGCCATGCTGTCAGCACAGAGCCTAACGAGGGGCTCGATCCCACAACCATGAGATCGTTTCCTGAGCAGAAATCAAGAGTCGGATGCTTAACCCACTGAGCCACCCAGGCATTCCTGAAATTGCTTTCTTAGAAGGAACTGAATGGAAAAAATGCTGCATGTCTCAAAAATATGGGGTTTCATGGAGTGGAAAATCAGCATAATTTATATGAAGAAAGAATAAATTTCATTTTCTTGGTAATAAATAAGTTGTTAGGCTAACCAAGATCTACCAAGAGATTAGCAATAAAAAAGCAAAAATGTCAACACTTTTTCTAAAATGCACTTTCCGAGTCTCCTGCCCAGACTGTGACTCTGGGGTGACGGGACGGGACGAGCACAGGATGGCCCTCAGGAGTGCCGGGCTCTAGTGTGAACGTGCCCGTGAGAGAAGCGCTGTGTCTTCGTCACCGAGCTGACAGCCTCCTGTCGGCATGGCCAACACGTTCTCTGAAGCGGGGGAGGAGGAGGGCTAGGGAGGAGGGGAGGGGGATTCGAGTCGGGCTTTCTTGCGGGCACCTCCAGGACCACATGGGGAAAGGACATGCTTGGCGGTCAGCTCGGCTGGGCCCGAGGTGCTCCCATCACGGAGGGGTGGGTGGGGCGGACGACGCAGGGGCCGGCCAGCGGTGCAGGAAAGGACCAGGCGGCCCCAAATCTCTTAGTCTGTCCCCGGCTCTGGGTGTGTAAAGTCAGGTGGGTCCGTGAAGCATCACAGAGCCCGGCTCCTCACGAGGCAGGAGATCATTTACGTCCTCACTGCTCTTCATGTTGTGGCTTCTCAAATCAGTAGGATTTGCCTACACTACCCAGGACACAAGGGCAGTGAGAAAAATCTACTTGGTTTGTGTAACAAAGCTTCCAGAAGACTGAAGCTTTAACAGGGAAAAAAAACCTACAAAACTAGTGTTTCCTCGGCGGGGGGGGGGCGTGGGAATGTTTTGGTGAAGCTGGAATTTCTGTATCTACCTTTGTGATAGAAAATAATATGAAAAACACACGGGCACAGCCACTTTAAAAGCGTGCTCCTACGAAATTACCGAACCGTCCTGGGGGAACAGGTCACGGAGCCACATCCGGAAGGTGTGGCTCCAGACATACAGCGTCTGAATCCAGTCGTGTTATTTGAAATGGAGGGAAAAAAAAAAAAAAAAAAAAAAGCGTGTGGACGCCCACCTCCAGGTCGGTGAAAAGCCCATGGTTGTTCTGGAGTATGGCATACATGCAGTGCGCCACGGTGACCGCGTGTTTCCAGTTGTGGTAAGGAACCCTCCGGTAGTTCTTCTTCACGGACATGATGAAACGACACAACTTTTCGAGCTCGAAGCTGTGCGGAGAAGAGGAGAAACCGTTAAGACAGAAACCGGTAAAGAGCCGATACGTTCTCGCTAGAGCTCTGGTTTAAACACGTACGTCTGGGGGCGCCTGGGAGGCTCAGTCAGTTAAGCATCCCACTTTTGGGTTCAGCTCAGGTCTCGAGCTCACCGTTCGTGGGATCGAGCCCCGTGTCAGGCTCTGTGCCGACAGCGCGGGGCCTGCTTGGGATTCTGTCTGTCTGTCTGTCTGTCTGTCTCTCTCTCTCCCCCCCTCTCTTTGCCCCTCCTCCGCTCAGGTGCACCCGTACCTTCTGTGTCTCGAAATAATAAACGTTAAAAAAAAGAAACACATCCATCTGTACCCGTATACACTTGCAACTATGAAAATGTGCACAGTGACTGGGTCCAGGAGCGCCAAAGCCTCTCTCATCACTTCCCTTCTGTTTCTCTGGCTGGTTAAGAGAGGAGGACTTTTCCAGAGCTTCTGATCTGATACACTCGCTGGCCCACCAGGGGGCCAGTACCAGAAGGGGCGCGTAGGAGCGTGTCGCTAACTCACTTCACCCTCACGTCCCCGCACCGTGCTCGACAGACAGCAACGTACCATCACCCTGCTTAAGGGCATTATGAGCTAATATTTTCCAAAAAAGCATATTCAGATTCCCAAACTTCAAATATAGCATAGGAATTTCCTAGATGAGTGATTATCCTCTCGAAGTATTGTGGTGCACTCAAATTATTAAGTGGCAAACGGCCACGCCAAAACCCTGACACCGTACATAGAACGATATGACGCGTTTTAAACGTTTTTTTAATGTCTGTTTATTTTTGAGAGACAGAGAACGCACGTGCCAGAGTTGGGGGGGAGGTGGGGAGAGAAAGGGGGGGGACCGAGGATCCAAAGCAGGCTCTGCGCTGACGGCAGAGAGCCTGACAAGGGGCTCGAACTCACAAACCGTAAGATCATGACCCGAGCCAAAGTTGGATGCTTAACTGACTGAGCCACCCGGGCGCCCAATGATACGTTTTTATCATGCAACATTGTTATTATATTTTATTTTCATATTTCATGTATTTCTACTTATTTAAGTCCCTACCAACTCTCTCAAGGAATTTATGGCAGCTTAAAATAAAAGCACATCTGGGCGCCTGGGTGGGGCAGTCGGTGAAGCGTCCGACTTCAGCCAGGTCACAATCTCGCGGTCTGTGAGTTCGAGCCCCGCGTCAGACTCTGGGCTGATGGCTCAGAGCCTGGAGCCTGTTTCCAATTCTGTGTCTCCCTCTCTCTCTGCCCCTCCCCCGTTCATGCTCTGTCTCTCTCTGTCCCAAAAATAAATTAAAAAAACGTTGAAAAAAAAATAAATAAAATAAAAGCACATCAATATAGAACAAGGCTCTTTGAAATACCAGGAAGATGACAGTCCATAGAACTTCTAAAAATATATAACCTTTACTCTTCTCCACTGAAGATTTGTTTGAAATTTTTTAAAAAAGTTTTATTTATTTTTGACAGAGAGAGAGAGAGAGTGAGTATGAGCATGAGCAGGGGAGGGGCAGAGAGAGAGGGAGACACAGAATCCGAAGCAGGCTCCAGGCTCCGAGCTGTCGGCACAGAGCCCGACGGGGGGCTCGAACTCACAGAGCACGAGATCATGACCTGAGCCAAAGTAGGACGCTCAACTAACTGAGCCACCCAGGTGCCCCTCCACTGAAGATTTTCAAATGTCCTTGAAGAATAAGGTAGGCCATTTTTAAGAGTTCCAACGGGTCAAACTCTCAACTGATATCTAAGAAATAAGTGTTGTTAATTACCCTGTGTGCATTCTTTCAAAAGAGCAACTTATAAAAGTCACCAATAAAAGTAGGAGAAGGCAGAGAATTCAATGGCAAAGGAGTGACAATTTAGCTTCAGAGAAACTAAGGGCCTCCATAAGCCACTTTATGATTAAATGAGTGAAAAAGAGAAAAAGAAAATTAGTCCTTGCATTTTTTTTAATTACTTGCATTTTAAGTATGTGTTTAAGTTGCAAAAAGTTAAATGGAAAGTCATGAAGGGTCTCTGGGACAGGCCCCAAGAGGGGGAAAGACCCACAGGGAAAGGGAACCACGGTGAAATCACTAATAAAGCACTTGGCACTGAATTAGGAGACCTGTGTCCTTCACACCTGTTCGAACAGATACAGCATGTAGGTTGAAAGCTGACGCTAAATTTAATGCACACTTTCCAAAGACACACTTGAAAATAGTATGTAGTGATGTGGAGAAATAACCCCTACCTCTTCCCATTACACGGCCTAAGGTAATTTTCACCTGTATCTTTATCATCACCTAGTAGAGACAGGGTCGTTAGCCAAGGGACAGCCACCCTGGCAAAGAGCTCAGGGGTAGCCCTAAGGGAAATCCAAATCTGAAAATCAACTTGTCCAGTAATCTCAGCCTTTTTTAATTTAAATATTAAAAAAAGTTATTTATATAAGGCATCTTTTCAAATAGTTTTCGACCAAGGAAGTGGCCAGGCATGTAGGCAGGGGGAGGAAGAGGTCATATCACTCAAGAGGTTAAGAAGGCAGTTTCTGGGTCATTCATACCAGGATGTCCCACAGGACCGATGGACCATGTAGACAAAAATCCCAGGCCACATGTTTTCAAAAGGACCAATGTCAAAGTGGAATCTGAAACGAAAGAACACAAGGCTGATTAGTAAATATAATTAGGGTAAACATAAACACAAACAAAGTAATTTAATTTTGTGTCTTTTAAGAAACTAAAAAACCACTGAGAGTCTAGCCATCTCTCTTCCTGCGTTCTTAGTCACATCTTTGTTGTATTAAATGTTTCCAGGAGGAAATTCCACACATTCCCTCAGGAACTTAGCCCAATATTTAAGCCATTGCTTAATCTTCTATGAAACAATCTCTAAAAAATGATGTTGCGGTCGTTATCAGAGCAATGAGAGGATACAAAATAACTTTGCTGTGAATCCTACATGTGTTTTACACAACTTACAGACAAGGGGGGAAAGCGATTTTTTTTAGAGTGGAAAATCATTCTATCTCCCATCTAAATCCAGAGAGACACTTCATAAATACAAACATCTGAAGTTATTACCTATTTTCCGTTTGCTAATTTAACTACTAAGATTTAACCCGCACAGACACGGCGGTAAACTATTTAAAAGAAACCATCCTCCTCCAGTTACACTTCTGACGCCACACGTGTGAGTTTTCCACACCCAGCAATTCTCCAACCCTCTGCAGACACCAACCGATGATGCCCTCTAACGCGGTGTACTTCCGACCCCACCGCAGCTAGCGTAGCCTGCGTGGGTCACGGGCTCGGTCCCGCAATACTGCCCCCGACTGCAGGTGCCAATCGTGAGGCCGTCCACCCCTCTGACCATCAGCTATAAAGCTGAGGTTCCCACAACCCCCACCTCGGGTGTTGCAAGGCAGAACGGCTCACAGAAGTCAGGGGAGCACCTCATTTAATACTACCAGTTTATTATTAGGGATGCAAGTCAGGAACAGGCAAACGAAGAGATTCATGGGCCACGGCACGGGGGAAGGGGTGGGCTCTCAGGCCTCGGCAGGGGCACCACCCTCCTGGCACCTAGCGTGTGTGCCGACCGGAAAGCCCTCCGAACCCCTTGTTGAGGGTTTCTGGAGGTCCCATTCCACGGGCACATTTGCTTAAATCGTTGGTCGCTGGTGACTGACTCAATCCCCAGCCCCTGTCCCTTCCCAGGAGGTCTGAGGGTGGCGCTGAAAACTACAACCCCCTAACCACGCGGTTGGCTCCTTGGACAACCGGCCCCCACCCTCCTAGAGTCCTTCAATAGCAGAAACTCAAGTGTGGTTGAACAAGGTTCATTCTGAACAAGAAAAGACACTTCTCTCCCTCTGGTCATTCGGGAAACTCAAGGGGTTTAGGAGCTCTGAGCCAGGACCCGGCTCCAAAGACCAAATATACAGATTTCTTATTCTATCACAATGTGTATTGTACACAAACCATCAGAGGGTAAGTTGAGGCAAATAAGAAATCGTTAAGAGCTCTTTTGAGCAAAAATCTATTCCAACAGGGCAGTGGGAAGCCTGTAGGGACAGGAGCCAGCAGAGACCCCGGTGCAGAAGAGCTGCAAGAGCCAAGCAAGGCAGTTGCTGCCGACTGTGGCTTCAGGCCCAGTTGGCTGTCCGTGCCTGGCCGTCCTCGGGGTTTCCATCACGTAGCCTTGAGGCCCTTTGGGTTTAGATTTTGGTTTGCTTACGCCAGCTGCTCCAGCATTAGAGTCACCTCAGTCTGATGGCCTTCTTGTTTAATGAACAGTTCCGATGATAGGGCAAGTATCAGCTCTGGGTTACTTCTGAAGATCTCTGGTATGTAGTTGAGTGCTGGCTTGCACTTAAAGTTTTAATTTTTAACGTTTATTTATTTTTGAGAGAGAGAGAGAGTGAGAGCAGAAGAGGGGCAGAGAGAGAGAGAGAGAGAGGGAGATTGCTGGCTTGCACTTAGAATGAACATACATATCATCAGAGGTCCTACCACCAGGAACTCACATATATTAACACAGGATAAGAAAAGAAAATGTGAAAGGTGAACTCATTCTTACTAAATCCTAAAATTTAGTTTTTAAATTTAAAATTGCACGGTAACAGAAACTTTTAGATCCCTGATCTTCAACGCCACTTTGAACATCAGGTACTATCTGGTGTGAAGTAGGCGGAAGACTAACGAGAAAAAGCTAACATCTCAGTTAACCCATTTCAAAATGGCGGTCAGATGTTTTTTCCTAAAGATAAAAGAGGCGTGGCCTTTCTTTCCACCTTCCATCACGAGAAGGGAAGTCACGGTGGAAGGGAAAATGGGAACCCACAGAGCACGTGTAACGTAGGGTCCATGACACTAATTGTACACCCAGTTCGTGTCAGGCGGAATCAAGTTAAAACTGTTCCGGAAGCAACAGGACAAAACACTCACAATTCGATCTCCTTGCAGAGGCGCACCGGGAGGTTAAAGTGCATGAGGCCTTGCCACTCTTCCGCGGTACAGATGCTGTGGTAGGACAGCTTCTCCATCGTCACCCGGTAAATGCACTCGGAATGTCGGATCCTGTGATACATCTGGATGGCAAACCCGCAAAGTTAAGGGTAAATTAAATGAGCGTTTCAAGTAGTTATGTCACTAAAGTTCAGAATTCGGTACAAAAGAATCAGTCAGAACTATGACTGAAAACACTACTATTATCCATTAACTATAATCACCATACATTTCCATATACAACGAAGACACCCACACATGTGCCTTTGAAGATACAAAACACCTCGGATTTTTTTAAATTGTATCTCCATTTTAAAAGGCTTATTAAATTCTGCAATTCTCTCTGGATAGTGAGATTATTTGGTACTTGGTGGTCCCTTTCTTCTTAGATTCCCAGCCTCCAGTACTGGGATAAACTCCAACGTCTGTTGTTTCTAGACCACCAAGTCTATGGTATTTTGTTACAGCACCCCAAACACACTGAGACAGAGACTAAATGAGTCAGGAGCTGAGACTGTTTTTCTAAATCTTCTTTTAAAAATATTTATCTTAGGGGCACCTGGGTGGCTCAGTCGGTTAAGCGTCTGACTTCAGCTCAGGCCATGATCTCATAGTTTGTGGGTTCGAGCCCCGTGTCGGGCTCTGTGCTGACAGCTCAGAGCCTGGAGCCTGCTTTTGATTCTGTGCCTCCCCTCTCTCTCTGCCCCTCCCTGCTTATACTTTGCCTCTGCGTCTTTCTCTCTCAAAAATAAATAAAGATTAAAAAATTAAAAAATATATATTTATCTTAATTCTTGGTGACGTCAAAGTCCTCGGGTCCACGCAGTCTCGACAATGTTTAATCGTGAAGTCCTTTATCAGTAAAAGAATTTTAGAGATGCATGCCTAATAAATATATACTCCTTTAGCAATTACATGCACATACAATGTGTGGATATATTGTTTATACTAAAATAGAAATTTAAAAAGATAAAAAATAGAAAGTATATTTTTTAATATTTTATTACTGAATAAGACTTTTTGTTCTTATTAAACAATCACATATTTTATTTTATTTTTATTTTTATTTTTTTTAAACAATCACATATTTTAAAATGAAAGCACGAATTACATGTATGTTGTCAGGTGTCAAGCTTTTGCTTTAATAATTTGTGCCACGGTGATGTTAAGGTCTGGGTTCAGTTTGATTTATTTCAATACTTAGATTTTGAGTTATACTATTCGAAAAAGATATGCCGAAAACTACGCAGTTCCATCCAAATGGAATAAACGTAGTACTGGCTGTTCTTAAACATCACACTCGGAGCTTTGTTCCCTAGCCACTAATATTTTTGGCTTAAATTCACATAACTTTCCATCTCCCCTGGTGAGTATCAGTTAATCCTGCAAACGAATTAGTTGCATCCTTATATATTATCGAACAGGTTCATTATGAAACTTAAAGAACTCTTCATGGAGAAGAGTTTAGTAAGTTAAAAGCTGTTTCATAAATTAAAATCGTAAAAAAAAACCATTCCATTTTAAAGGAAGAAAGAGAGGTAAAAGGAAATCAACAAGACGGGGGATTTATCCTTAAACATAAAATGTGATAGTTGAAACATTCTGGGTAAGAGGCAAAAATTGCCAGACCGGATAAAAAACAAGACCCATCTTATGCGTTTTACCAAAAAATCCTACCTTAAAAATAAAGACCCAGATGAGGTAAAATGATGGAAATTTTATACCATTTAATACCACTCAAAAGAAAGCTGGGGTGGCTGTATTACTATCAGACGAGGTAGATTTTGAGCAAAGACTATTAGCAGGGGTAAAAGAAGGATAATTTTGAATGACAAAGGGGGTCGATTTGTCAAGAGGCCATGATGCTCTTAAATGTCAGCTGGTTTTCAACAGGTGCGCAGGGGCAAGGTGGTGCAGAAAGGACAGTAAAGGTGACAGGCGGTGCCAGGCCGACTGGACACCCACGCGCAAATAAATGCACGACTACCCTCACCTTGCACCCTATACAAAGTTGACTCAAAATGGATCACAGACCTAAATGTAAAACCTAAACTTCGAGAAGGAAACATAGGAGGAAATCTTTGTGACTTTAGGTTAGGCGAACATTTCTTTGACACAGTGCTAAACGGCATGATCATAAAAAGAAAAGAACTAATAATTGGACTTCTTCAAGGTTAAGAACTGCTCTTAGAAAGAAACCGATAAGAGAATAACAAGACAAGCCAAACGCTGGAAGCAAATATTTGTAAATAACCTACTGATAAATGACTATTTACTTGGCAGCATGAAATACGCAGCTGTCAGACCCAGGGGACCACGGGGCTATCAGACCCAGGGGACCAGAGGGCTATCAGCCCAGCTGAGCTTGTGGCTCATGGTTCTGGGATCTGAAGGCCTGTGTAGGAAGACAGACTTGGCTGTGCTCTGCGAGAGGATCTGCTGAATTAAGAGCTCTGTGAAGAGAAGAGAAGCCTGTGTGAGACTGTGTTGGAAAACAGTCCCTCCCCACTGAAGAAATGAAAACTCGACCTGTAGCTTATGTAGCTGGAGTTTCTCAGTGTATACTGTTGGCATATAATATTATAATTTTGAGCTAAAAAAGTAACAAACAAAACTGGTCTAAGAACAACGAACACTTGGGGTACACGGGGAAAGTTACAAGGCCCTGCGCATACCGGTCTCCCACAGAGGGAATAATTCCAGATGAATCTGAGTAAGTATGTAAATATCAAATAAATAAGAAAATGAATAAAAAAATTCAACAAAGGAGAGACCAACACAAGGCCGAATCCATAGATGGGTAATCCTAAGATCTGAGTTAACGAAAGACCATGGAGAGATTAAAAATATACTGTGGCAAAAATGTACCGTTTCGCACGTCACTTCCTATGCCTACAAAGCTCCTCTAGTTTACGGAAGCCACAAGCACCAAAAAGGCAAAGGAATGAGAATTATTTTTTCTTGACCAGATCCTAGGGAGATGTGTTTAAGATGCGGTCTTTCTTCAAGCCAGGCCCAAACCAACTATCATAGACAACCCAGAAAGAAACCTTTCCACGCTGAGATTTGCAAGTGTGACAATATTATTCTCCAGGCCCTTTGCTTGATGAAAAACCAACAGGGGAGCAGAAAAAAAAACATGTACAGACACAAATCTATATTATTTTTGGTGTTATGCTCCTACTAACAAGGACAGTTTAGTTTAGAAGCAAAGAGAATTAAGTCACAAGGAAAGTGACCCAAGCTGTGTGTCCTGACACGCTTCGTTGTATGGAAAATGGAGATGTCCTGTAAGATTCGCTGACTTCTCTTACTCTGTCAATGTACAGGTTTTCTCTTAGGGTAGGCCTCAAAGCTCCCTCTGTTAGCTCTTTCTTGCTACTTTCCAGTAAAAACTGAGGGAAATACCAATTAAAAAAAAAAAAAAAAGCAGCTTAGCCCATGGAAACAACCCACCAGCTATATATGTAGCAATGAAGTGGTATTTTATGAAACGGACTACGATGACTATTCGCCAAACACAAATATCATGACTAACTAGAGCTAAGCACAAAGGGAGTATTGTTGAGAACCACGTCCTAAGAACCTTACCTACACTACCTGATTTAGTCCTAACGGCAAGCCCATGCTTGGTGTTATTGCTACTCGTTAGTTTAGGAAATAGACACTCAAAAGCAAGCCAAATTTCTCAAGGTCCAAAGTGGGTAAGTTGGAAGTAATGGTCTTAAAATGGCCGGATTTCATTCTTTCTCATTGCCAAGTAGTATTCCATTGTATATATATATACCACATCTCCTTTATCCATTTATCGGTGGATAGACGTTTGGGATCTTTCCATTATTTGGCTATTGTTGAAAGCGCTGCTATAAACGCTGGGGTACATGTGCCCCTGTGAATCAGTACTCCTGTATCCTTTGGATAAATTCCTAGTAGCGCTCCTGCTGGGTCGTAGGGTAGTTCTATTTTTAATTTCTGGAAGAATTTCCACACTGATTTCCAGAGCGACTGCACCAGCTTGCATTGCCACCAACAGTGCAAGAGGACTCCTCCTTCTCCACATCCTCGCCAGCATCTGTTGTTGCCCGAGGTGTTAATTTTAGCCATTCTGACGGAGGTGGTATCTCATTGTGGTTTTGATTTGTATTTCCCTGATGATGAGCGATTTTGAGCATCTTTTCATGTGTCTGTCTTGCCATTTTCAACAATGTGGATGGAACCGGAGACTGCTATGCTAAGTGAAATAGGTCAGAGAAAGACAGATGTCGTATGTTTTCACTCCTAGGTGGAATTTGAGACACTTAACAGAAGACCATGGGAGAGGGGAAGGGGAAAGAGAAAATAGTTTCAAACAGAGAGGGAGACAAACCTTAAGAGACTCTTAAATACAGAGAACAAACTGAAGGTTGATGGGAGGGGTGATGGAGCGGTGGAGGGGAAAATGAGTGATGGGCATTGAGGAGGGCACCTGTCGGGATGAGCACTGGGTGTTGTATGGAAGCGATGAATCATGGGAATCTACTTCCGAAGCCAAGAGCCCACTGTATACACGGTATGTTAACTAACTTGACAATAAATTATATTTAGAAAAGCAAAAAAAATTAAAGTTAACACGTTAAAAAATTAAAAATTAAAGTTAACACATTAAAAAATTAAAAATCCAGCAAAAATAAAACGCTCATCTCTCTGATTTCCAGCTGGAGACAGAATAATAGTCAGCAACCTTCAACTCAAAAAGTGATCAGTCGGGGCGCCTGGGTGGCGCAGTCGGTTAAGCGTCCGGCTTCAGCCAGGTCACGATCTCGCGGTCCGTGAGTTCGAGCCCCGCGTCGGGCTCTGGGCTGATGGCTCAGAGCCTGGAGCCTGTTTCCGATTCTGTGTCTCCCTCTCTCTCTGCCCCTCCCCCGTTCATGCTCTGTCTCTCTCTGTCCCAAAAATAAATACACGTTGAAAAAAAAAATTTAAAAAGTGATCAGAGAATGATTTAAAAGGGCAGAGGGAAAGAGTGTCAATGTGAAAGAAAAAGTGCACGTCTGAAAGCGATGCCTTGGAAATCCACACAAGAATGGAAACGGCCTGTACTCAGCGCCTTGCGGCTTCAACAAATCCAGACATACGTGCGGGACCTGAAACCACCTAGGCTTCAGGGTCAGTTAATTCTTAATCTGTACCTAGCATAGGACCTAACATGTTCAAGCGTTCAGCTCCTATTTGGGGAATGAATAAATGAGCATATCATTTATAAACCTTGTAGTCCGAGAGCCCCCCCCCCCCAAAATCTAAGTCCATTAAAACCCGTTACCTATACACTTGTAGATTTGGAAAAGGATTCTATTTCGTGTTACCTATTTCGTGTTACCTAAAAGATGCAGTCTCAGAATTTTTATTCAGTCATTTTTTTCTAAGAGAATTCAAGTTAAGGATGTTAGAGGGGGGAAAAGTGGGTGCTACCATGTTCCTACAAACAAAGAGATAGGTAAATTTTAGGT